GTACCACAATGCCAAAACACGCTTACTAAGTATGGAGCGTAAATTCAAGCGATTACCAGAATTCGGTAATAAATATCGCGAATTCATGCGAGAATTCTCTGGATTAGGCCATATGCGTAGGGTAGTATCACCGCAGGAATCAGATAAAAATAATTACTATATACCCCACCACGGTGTTATAAACGAAAAAAGTGCAACCACAAAGTTACGAGTAGTGTTTGACGCGTCGTGCCCTACATCCACCGGTTATTCTTTTAACGATCTGCAGATTGTGGGTCCTACTATCCAACCAGATCTATTTAGCGCTCTAGTCCGGTACAGACAATATAGCATAGTTGTAGTATCAGATATTCAAAAAATGTATCGTGCATGCCTCGTTAACACGGAACAATTAAGGTTCCAACGTATTCTATGGCGCGATTCCGAAAATCTTCCAATAGAGGTTTACGAGTTAACCACTATTACCTACGGTACAGCATCAGCAAGTTACCTAGCGACTCGCTGTTTAAAGCAGTTAGGTTTAGAAAGCTCCGATCCAGTGATTGCTAACGTTATTAAGAATCATTTTTACGTAGACGACCTTCTTACGGGAGCGGATTCAGTTGAGAAAGTTATGTACATTATTGACGGAGTATCACAAACTTTGAATGCGGGCGGTTTCAAGCTACATAAATGGGTTTCTAACAATCCCGCAATATTACGTTGTGTATCAGATAGTAGAGCGGAAGATATAATAGACATGGGACGTAGGGAAAATACGCGTACGTTAGGTCTGATGTGGGATCCTCAGAAAGATGTCTTTAAATTTAACATTAGCAAAAACACAACTATGACACGGGTTACCAAACGATCTATTCTTTCTGAGATAGCTCAAATCTTCGATCCGTTAGGGTTATTGAGTCCTGTTATCATAAGGGCCAAAATTATCCTTCAACACATTTGGCAGGAGGGATTGGATTGGGATGTTTCACTTCCAAATCAAATTTACACACGTTGGTGTGAATTTCGTGACATGTTAGTTCTATTAAATTCCATTGAAATTCCACGTCATATTTCGTTAAAAAATGCGAATGAATTTGAACTACATGGATTTTCAGACGCATCAATTAAAGCATACGGAGCTTGTGTTTACTTACGAGCTACTAATTCTTATAATGATTGTTCGGTTCAATTAGTATGCGCAAAATCCAGAGTGGCTCCAATAAAACCTACTACGGTTCCGCGATTAGAACTGCTTGGTGCTTTGTTACTTACCGATCTTGTTAATAAAGTTAGAACAGCTTTAAATCTAGAAATTAAAAGAGTAGTGTACTGGACGGACTCTAGTGTTCTGATAGGATGGCTAGGAACTGATCCTAGTAAATTACATACATTCGTAGGAAATCGCATTGCGCGAATTCTTGACTTATCGAGAGCGTCTGATTGGCGCTACGTTTCAACCGAGCACAACCCCGCAGACCCCGTTTCACGCGGTATAGACTCGGGAGCCCTCGCGGATTTAACAATATATTGGTGTGGTCCTGTATGGTTAAAGCAAGATGAGTCGTTATGGCCACGTAGAACGTTTCGTTCTGAAAGTTTACCGGAAATAAAGGTTAACGTTCTAAAAGCTACTATAATTGAAGAATGCGTTATTCCGTTCACGCGCTTTTCTACCCTATTTCGGCTACAACGTGTAATAGCATATTGTCTGCGGTTCATTAATAATTGTTCAAATAAATCTGATAAACGAACGGGTTCTTTAAAATGTTCGGAATTGAATGAAGCGCAAATTTACCTAATCAAATGTAGTCAACGAGACTCATTTCAGGATGAAATCAATCATTTGAGTGGCAAGGGCAGTTTGCCGCAGAAAAACGAACTAACTAAATTAAACGTATTTCTTGATCACACTGGTATTATGCGCGTAGGCGGTCGATTACGCAATTCGTCTTATAACGTTGATAAAAAGCACCCGATGCTACTTCATAGTAAACACGTGTTAACGCGGTTGATCTTCGAACACGAACACGTACAACTTCTTCATGCAGGTCCGCAACATTTACTAGCTTCAATACGGGATCGGTATTGGCCGATTGGGGGGAGAAATCTTGACAAAAAGGTAATCTTTAATTGTATGCGTTGTTTTCGAGTAAAACCGCGGGTGTCGCAGCCTATTATGGGCGATTTACCATCGCAACGTGTTACTCCAGCACCTCCGTTCAGTACCACCGGCGTCGATTACGCTGGCCCGTTTCTTTTGAAAGATCGGAAAGGTCGCGGTTCTAAAACTTCAAAATGCTATATTTGTCTATTTGTATGCTTTATAACACGTGCTAGACACCTTCAATTGGTGTCGAATTTGACTTCTGAATGTTTTATTGCAGCACTGCGGCGTTTTGTTGGTCGCCGTGGAAAGCCGTCTCAGATTTTTTCGGATAACGGTACCAATTTCGTCGGCGCGAATCGCGAGCTTCACGAGTTAGGAACGTTCCTACAAGGTTCCAATCAATTAACCGATGTGATTGAGAATGAGTCGATTAATTGGTCATTCATTCCCCCTAATTCGCCTCATTTCGGCGGTTTATGGGAGGCAGGCGTTAAAGCAACCAAATATCATTTAAAGCGGGTCGTTGGCAATGCAATACTTACCTTTGAACAATTTTATACGCTGTTGATTCAAATTGAAGCTATCCTAAATTCTCGCCCTTTGTCACCCTTGTCCACGAATCCCAATGATTTAACACCCTTAACTCCTGCGCATTTCTTGATTGGGAGAACGCTTTCGGCCCCACCAGATCCAATCCTGGATCACGTCAAGTTAAATCGGCTGTCCCACTATCAATATACGCAATGAATTCAGCAAGACTTTTGGAAGCGTTGGTCAAAGGAATACATTTCGGAACTCCAACGCCGTTCCAAGTGGTCAACTAAAACAGAGAATCTTAAAATTGATGAATTGGTTGTAGTAAAGGATGACAACTTACCAACATTGAAGTACTTATATGGTCCGTTCCTGTTCAACTCTAAAAAAACAATTCATCCTGTTCCTATTAAAGAAAAATATCCGTTCCTGTTCAATAATTTCGAAGAAACGATTAAACTCGCTCATGATCAAGTAAAGCAATTGGTTCCGTTTCTGGTAGAAACCATCATCACTAGAGAAGAGAAAAATTGGTTCCCAATCCTGAATCCAACTGTTCCTGTCATGAAGAAAATATTTTGCTGAGTTTGACCTCCAAAGTTCGCATAGAAACAAATTGGCTAAGTTATTTTTTTTATAATTTATTGTTTTTGTTGATACATTTTTTTAAAGAAAAAAACTCTTCTTACCTTCAATACGAGAAGTTCTTGATAAGTTCAATATAAATTTTGAGATTACGATTACAATTTCCTAATTAATTTAATATTTGACGAGTTGTTTAAGACCATAACATATCCGAGTTGATAAATATTACTTCGAATTAACTAATTTAGAATATTTGTTTATATAATCAGTAAATTTTGTTAATTTTGTCGACAACATCTCAATTTGATTGCACCTTAAGTTGTGCACATGTTTGTCTGACAGTGTTATCAGAACCTGCCTTTAACCCTGAGATAATTCGACAATTCTGTTTAAATATTTAAATTCTTTTCAATTTAATAAAAAAGCAAATTATTATAAAATTTAGTAATGTTATTTTCATTAAAATAATTCTTTTCAAAAGAAGAGGGACTATTTGCGGTCCATTTGGAAAAACATTACAATACCTTACCTTTCGGACCGGTGATCAAGACTTGGAGTAAAGCTCAGATAGAATAACATATTATTATTTTGGTTACTGAAGAATTTATATATAACATTTTTTTGTATCTGATTTTCCTTAAGAAAGAATTAAAAGAATATCTCATTCTGTACATCATTTTTTTTATCATTTCAATTTATTTTTGTGAATTCTTGTTTGGCGAGATTTTTTTTTATTCTATTTTTACCGTTATTTTTTTATATATATAATTTTTGATTTCACGTTGAGCCAAACCATACGGAACCATACGGAGTCAGACGCGGGTTAACTTTTCATTTTCATTTTATCAGTAGTATAGATTCGTCGATTCAAGAACCTGCGTTCTAGAAGGAGGTTCTTGAATCGGCAAATTTTTTGGGGTCAGAGGAGGTTCGATGAGGAGACGAGGTTCTTGAATCGGCGATTCTTTTAGGGGTCGGAGGAGATTCGATGAGGAGAGAAGGAGGTCAATTAACTTGTGAAGGTCATATTATTTTGACGAAATTATTACAAATTTATCTTTATTTATTTATTTATTTAGATCATGTTATTTTGAGAAAGTTATTAAAAATTTATCTTTATATGTAACCTGTTTACCCAGATGAAAACAATGACTATGTTTATCCTTCGACGTTTCTCAATGAACTGTTAGAACATGTCTTCGATATATCTTTTAACTTATTATACACAAAAAGGTATACGGTTTTGAGACATGTAGGTATACAAATAAGTGAGTCATGACCTACCTGCGGGATATTTTTTTATTTTATTATGTAAAGGTATACGGAGCTTTAAAACATGGGAGGAGGTTCTTAAATCGGTAAATTTTTATACGTTCGAGGAGGAGGTCAATTAACTTGATACTAGTAAGTGAGTCATGATCTACCTGCGAGATTTTTTTAATTTATTATGCAAAGGTATACGGAGTTTAAAAATATATATGTATACAAACGCACTCGATGCATCCTCCTCCTCCCAATAAGTTTCAGGAGCGGTGAGGGTTTATAAACGCCTGCGAAATGTGGTATTGACGTAGTTCTTTCATAACAAGTAAAAGTGTACAACATTAAATTGTAAAATGGTCGTGTGTGAGGATTGTGGAAAAAGTTTTACTCGAGTTGACAATTTAAAAAGACATCAACGATTATCTTGTATTGGCAAGAGAATCAAGCTTGACGCACCGCAAATTCCAAAAGCAGTAAAATGTGAGGCTTGCGATGATTATGTAAATAGACAATGTTACTCTGCACATTTACGAAGCAACGCACACAAGCGTAACGCTTTTGTTATAATCGATGACGGAGTGGAGAGAATAGCTGGAGCATTCGGTGACAAAATTGTCAGTTATCGAATAAGTGAAGAAGGTTTTTTTGTGGATTTGGATGAATTTTCTCATAGAATTCGAGAAAAAATACTAAATCTAATACAAAGCGCAATCGATATTCACCGAAATGTAAAATTAAATATGGAATGTTTTGGTTTGTATTTTTTACAATCAAAGGAAGACTGTGAAATAAAATCATTCAATACGAAAAATAAGGTAGTATCATTAGCGTCGGATCTGTATAAAATATATAAGGAATTTATTGATGAAATTTCATCAAAAATGTCAGAATTCCAGGAACGAGATTCAGGTAAGCGTAATGAGACATAACATACCTATGCATAAAAAAATAAATGTTTCAATCTTTTATTTAGGATGGACTTTAATGCAAATCCTCTATATGGAGTTAAATTTAAACAAATATAATCCTATAAGAGCATCTAATTACATCGATTTACCGTCGCAAATAAATGCAGAGCATGCTGTGATAAATATACAAAACGCGGATGATGCATGTTTTGCATGGGCTGTAACATCCGCACTACATGAACCGAACGGTTTACCACAGAGGACATCTTCGTATCCGGATTACCTGGACTGCGGCTTAGACTATTCAAATATTGTTTTTCCAGTTAAATTACGAGATATACCTGTATTTGAAAAGCAGAACAAACTATCTACTAATGTATATGGAATAAATGAGTATTTTAAAGACGGTGTTATGAATTATGACATAATTACAATGTATATATGTCGACAAAAAGAAGAAAGACATATAAATTTATTATTGGTTACAAATGATTCCGGGAATAGTCACTATTGTTGGATAAAAAATCTGTCTCGATTACTATCATCGCAAGCATCGCAGAATGGTCATGAAAAGTATATTTGCGACGGATGCTTGGTATTCTTTACGTCAGAAAATAAACTTATCCGTCATCAAAGTGACGATTGCAGCAAGGTAAGGGCAATTTTACCAACAACAAATTTGAAAATAAATAAATATGGAAATGAAGAAAAGGAAAATATACTACAGTTCGAAAATTTTGAACGACAATTAAAAATACCGTTTGTGGTGTATGCAGATTTCGAAGCATTACAGAAACCGATCGCCGATGCGGAAGCAACAGAACTTAACGATGATAATTCATACTCCGTCAAATGTTTCAAACACGAACCTTATGTATTTGCATATTATGTAAAATGTTCTTATGACGAATCATTGTCGAAGTTTGACATATATCGCGGACGTAATGCTGCTCAAACTTTCATGAGCAAGTTGGAACATGACGTTCTGAATATATACAAAAATTATTTAAGCCAATCAAAAGAAATGCTCCCATTACCACCTATAGATAGATTAATACATGAGATGCAGGATATCTGTCACATTTGTTCGCACAAAATAAAAGAAGGCAATAAAGTATGCGATCATGATCACCTAACTGGGTTGTATAGAGGACCCGCACATGCTGTATGTAACATCAATTAATTATCAATTACCAAAATTCATACCGATATTTTTTCACAATCTTTCGAACTACGATTGTCATATGTTTGTGAAAGATATGGCATTATGTTATAGCACAGAATAAAGAAAAGTACATATCATTTTCGAAAAAAATTACCGTAGGAGAAAACATTGACAGCAAGGGAAAGCTAATGCGGGTTCATATGAAATTGAGATTTGTGGATTCATTTAGGTTTATGGCTTTATCGCTAGAGAAGTTGGGTTCATTTTTGGAAGACAACCAATGCGTTCAAATCAGAAAATATTTTAGGAACGAAGAACAGTTTCGACTTATACGACAGAAAGGAGTTTTTCCGTATTCCTTTGTAAATTCATTCGAAAAGCTGAATCTTACCGCTCTGCCAGATCGAAATAGTTTTTACAATCAATTATGCGACGATAGTATAACCGAAGAAAATTATTGTCGTGCACAAACGGTGTGGAACTTATTTAACTGTCGCACTTTAGGCGAATATAGCGACATTTATTTAACGTCTGACGTTTTACTTTTGGCGGACGTGTTTGAGAATTTCCGAACCATCTCGATGAAGTACTACTCTTTGGATCCATGTCATTACTTCACAGCGCCGGGCTTCGGTTGGGATGCATTATTACGAATGACAGGGGTAAAATTAGAATTATTAACGGACATAGACATGTTACACTTCTTTAAAAATGGTATTCGCGGTGGATTAAGTATGTGCATTAAACGCAGTGCGAAGGCTAACAATAAATTAATGATGGAATTTGATGAAACCAAAGACCCATCTTATATTTTGTATCTCGACGCTACGAATTTGTATGGACACGCAATGAGACGAAAATTACCGACGGGAGGATTTCGATGGCTATCAGATGAAGAGATTCAAAAGTTAGATATTTACAATACGGAAGACGATTCCGAAAAGGGTTACGTGTTCGAGGTAGATTTAGAGTATCCGGAAGCAATACATGATGAACACAACGATTTGCCATTTTGTCCAGAACGGATTGTACCCCCAGGTTCAAAAAATGCAAAGTTAATAGCAAATTTGGAAAATAAAACAAAATACATCATTCATTACGTGAATCTAAAGCAGTGTATCAAGTTCGGATTGAAACTAACGAAGATTTACAGAGTATTAGAATTTAAACAATCCAACTGGATGCTGAGCTACATCGATTTCAATTCCGATTCCAAACGTGCGAAAGCTAAGAATGAATTTGAAAAAATCATTACAAAGCAATGAATAACATCGTATACGGTAAGACAATGG